ATTGATTTTAGAAGGTGAATCTTCTCAATGAAAGGTGTTCACATGAGAGCAGACAAAACCTACACACAAACTTAAGCAGCTTGCCTAACTATTGCCACACCAGGAAGAATAATTTAGTAAAATTCTCAATGCCGCATCTTTGGATGCATGTACAGAAGCTCCTGCTGAATCAAGGCAAGGATGTGCTAAGTGCTGTTTTAATAATTAACAAAGCAACCCTAAGCATTGTGGAATACAAACACAATGCCTCACCAAGATCACTACTTTCTCCCAAACTTTCTGCAACCATGTCTTCCTAACAACCCCCAGACCGAGCTGCCCAGCCTCAGGCTGTGTGTGCTCCCTTACACAGCATCACTGGCTGCCCACGAGGTGCCCAATGTCCTCCCCCCTGGCTGGGCAGGCTGAAGAGACACCTCTGCTCACCTATTAACCACCAATTCCGAAGAATTTCCAGCACCAAGAGCTGCACATCAGCCCCCCTGCTTTGAACACTTCCCCTGTTTTTCTTTTGGTTTAGAACATATTTTTAACTTTCTAGGCATAGATTAAAACTTCACTAATTTGGGCACCACAACTGACATACTTTCACCTCATTTACAATAAGGAGCTGCAGTATCTCAACGCCACCCCAGTTTGGGATAGCAGCTCACAACTGAGGTAGACTTTTGCCTATGCAGTTTGTCTGATGCTACTGAAAGCTACGGTTGCCCCTTTATTGGTCTCCAACTCTCATACACTAAACCAACATTAGGAAGAGGTAAACTCAGAATGCAGCAGGAGACCTCTGAAAAGATCAACAGTTCCCGAGGCTCATATTACCGATTTAATTAAAGCAATGAATAGATCCTTTTAAATACTGTATTTTCACATGCACCAATTGCAGGTTACCTGTAAAATTCAATAGCAGTTCGAGTGCTGTGGGTTTTCAGGGAACGTTCAACCCATTACACTAAAAACTCTCCTCCAATAACATCCAACCTCAAATCCTCACCTCTGGCATACACTGATTCTGACGCTGTGCTGCTTACTCAAACAAATAGTCTCAAATAATGCATTTTAAAAGTGAATGAGTTACCTGAGGTACGGTTTAGATATCTGAGAAACATTGTAAATGCATTCAGATTTGGCTCCATAATCACACCCACTATTTACTATGATTTCACAGAGGAATTCTGGCTAGGCCTGAACAAGACCTACTCCATCACGAAACAAGGGGACTACATCTTACGGATTGAGCTGCAGGACTGGAAAGATAATAAGCGTTACATCGAGTATGCATTCACCCTGGGAGGCCCTGAAACAGACTACGTGCTGCAGCTCTCACGGATCTCTGGGAGCATCCCCAATGCACTGCCAGAGCAGACAGAACTGCGCTTCTCAACTGCAGACCACGATATGGCCGTAATAAATGACCTCGACTGCCCACAAAACTACCTAGGTATCAGTATGCTGGGTGCACGAATGTGGATGTTCCCTTGCTAAATGAAGGATGGCAGTATGCTTTAGTGAGTGCTTACTGATATCTGGCTGGCTTTAGAAGCAGAAAAGAGACAATAGCTGCAGGAAAGAGTGGGAGATGCTTTTTGTTGGGCTCTACAACAATGAGGTATCACTTTTCTACTTTATAGAAGGGAAAAGAAAAGCAGAGTGAGGCTGAGTAAATAGCCAGAGTTAGAACCAGCAGAAGTGGCTGAAATAAAACCTAAAGCTGAGATAGTGAGCTACGGAGTACAGCTCCTTCTCTAAAGCCTGCTCTGCTGTGGCAGATTTCTTCCCTTCTTGCAAAAGAGAAGAGGACAAATTGACTCTTAGATCCATTTTGACTACAAGCCAATAGCTAAGAATAGAGGCAAGCTTCCACTGAAAGGAAGACTTAAGCTGCTTGTCAAAAGTGTATGCTAAAATTGCTCTCAAAAGAAGAAGAGAGGTGTGAGGCTAAAGATATATCTCTCCTTAAAGATGATTTGTTTAAACATTTCCTAAATTCACTGATGTTATGAAGCTTTTACATTTTGCTGCTTTGCAGAAAAAAGCAAACAATGCAAAAAGCAATTAATGATTAAACTGCAGGATACAAAGTGCCCTGCCAGGCAACTGCTTCACACAGCAAACATTTTGTTTCTAGCATTCTCAGTTTGAAAACTGGGGATGTCTGAAACAATGTTGAGTGTTATAATCTGTAGTGGACATAACACAGATGAACAGACTTTCAAAATGCTGTACTTTTATATTTAGCACTGAGCCACAGCCAGTCCCTTACCTCTTGCCAGCTGAACTGGACTTCCAGTTCAAGATGGTGGTGAAGGACCTTGGCCAATAAAAAGTGATTTGTTTACTCCTGTAGATGCAGTACTTGAGAAAAATATCAGTAAATCAATAAGTCTGTTGTGGAGCTTTATGGGAAACTATATGGAGCAGACCCAAATGTCCCAGTTCAGTGGAAGCATTTGTGTGTGAAGTTTTCTATGCACCACTACTTCTACGTGAAACAGCCACTAACAGGTAGCACAACATTTGCACAGTGGCCTTCAAGTGTCAAGCATCAAGTGGCTCCACATACAAGCAACATTTCATTTGGGTACACTGGGTAATTGTCACTTTTGCTGGAACTGGCCTAAAGATTGATGTTGCTAATGGAAACTGTGTACTCAAGCTGAGCACAATAGGTTAAGGAACAACTGACAGTAAATGATATTACAATATTTTTTTCTCAGGAGGCTGGTGGCACAGTGAATGTGAGGAAACCAATCTTAATGGGAAGTATGTCGCACCAAGGTCAAAAGGAAGACTAGACAGAACAAGAGGCTTATACTGGAAACCTAGGAATGGAAGATACTACCTGCTCAAGTCAACCAGAATAATGATACACCCAACAGATTTAAAAATTTTTGACTGAATGCTCAACCGGATGCATTTCACAGCTAATACACTGAGCATCAAAGAAATTCCTATTATGTTTAATATCAGATGTGTGTCCAAATCCATACACTGTATGGTGCATTCTCCAATGACATAAACCCTGAGGCACATATGATGGTCTTACTGTATGTTTGGTGAGTATTCTCATTCATCCTAGCCCAAATGTCAGTGTGCTAGAAGTTCAGAAGGGCTTTCATCTCTCTAAGATCAAACCCCATCGCCTAGGGAACAGATGCCTATCTATTTATTAGATAACACTGCTTGGGGGAAAGGGTTTTATGGCTGCTGCATTAACTTCTGGGCAGTGCAGGAGGGTACAGGAAGTGTTCAAGCAAACAGAAAGTGCTGGCAAAGTACTACAGAGGACCTGTAGGTATTGAGACCGTGGGAAAAGAAAGAAATTGTGTTTCATACAGTAACTGATTAAATGTTTGGTTCAATTCACTGCTGTTGAATGCTCCTATGAGGAAATGAAAGATGAGGAACTCCCTATTTTAGGGTTCTATGTATTTCCAGACAAACTTTTGGCAGTGTACATTAGGCCAATTTTTGCTGATGTACTGTACTCACGCAGCTGCAGAGATGTACACACACATCAAGTAAGCCATGGTGTAGACCTAATCTCTTAGATATCACACTTCAAAAAGTAACTGAACCACTCTTTGAAACTGAAACTTAAGGGCTAAACTTCAAAGCTCACTGAAAGGAGTGGGAGATTTTCTCATTTGAAACAGCTTCAGACCCATCCCTTTGTGACCCTTCAATACACCTCACTGAGAACTTAATAAGACTAAGAGAGCACAGGACAAAACGACTTTCAGAGAACAGCTGAGTAACCTGTGCCTGTGGAGTCCATGGTACCATCCAACAAACCCTGCAGGCCAACCTGTGTGCTGCTGCTCCTGAAAACATTCATATTTGTTTAACTTCAGCTGCAGAATCCTCCAAGGCAGTAGGACTGTCAACATGTTTACAGATGGCTTGATGTGGAACCGTTTATTGACAAAGACCTCAATTCTACACTTACACTGAGTCATATTGACTTGTCTATTCTACCTTGTACAGCATGGATTTTCTATGTCAACATTTGCAACCATACAAACAGTGGTTTTAATACGTGATTTGTCAGGGTAAAGAAACTGTGAACAGAATGTGCTAATCACACAGAAACTGCAAGGATGCTACAACTTCCTATGGATTTACTGCAAAGCAGAAAACACACAGTGCTGCGCATTTGTACTGGAGTATTGTAGTGTATAATTACCTAGTTTCCACCAAAAAAAAAACCAAAATCCAACAAAAACCACAATAAATTAAATTTCTGAAAAGACATGAGGTGTGGAACTTCAACTCTTTCTTGTAAGCTGTTTTCTAAAAGCCTCGTCTGTATTTATCCAATTTCAACAACAAGAACTACTGATTTTGCAAGTTAATCTGGTGAAATTACTCAACTGAAGAAGGCACTGCCCTTCAGAAGTGTATCATCTTCAGTAATACAGTGAAAAATCTTTAAATTAATAAAGGAAAATAATGAAAAGAAATTTGCTCCTGCCTGCAGGATAGGAAGGTTATTGTTTTCTGAAAATGCTCAAAGACATTCTTCCAGATCTTTATTTTGTTAAAGCTTTGTAAACAAGGAAATTGCTTTTAAATCAAAGTGGAAATACGAATGGATTATTCATTTCCCTCACTTTTTAACCTCCACTGTAAATGAATGAAAATAAGCCCCGGAAAGTAACAGAAAGCAGCAAAGCCAATTAGAGAACATTGCCTTTAGCACACAGACAAAATGAAAAAGATCTGCATAAATGTGAAAAGAACTCCACCAAGTTTGACTTTGTATCTTGAGAAACTGAGAAAGCTGTGCCACCCTCCTGCCTACAGCCAAGTTTTACGCAGCTATGTTAATCCCTGCACATCTGTGTATTTTCTGCTGTGTCAGTCTGGACCCTTCCTGTGTCTCTGGCACAGCACACCAACTGATGCAGCAAGTTTTGCAACAAACCAGCTGATAAAGTAAGAATCTCTGGACCTGCCAATCTGAGGCCTTGAAATGTGAGACGTATTTCAAAACTAACCTGTATGTGGTATTTGGAACGTAGACATCCCTGGCAGGAAACTCCAGGATCTCTCTTGTAGGTCTGACTCTGCTGTCTGGGTAAAGTTTCACTTGCAGCAACTCTGGAGTTAGGCAGTAATGGGGATTCTCTGGAGCTGGAGATATGTCTATCTTCAATTGAGCTGTAAGAAGAAAATGATTTAATTATAATAAATAGAAGTTAAATATAAATCAAAAAGCAGAGTCACACTTTCTTTTGCTACGGTTAATACCCAGACTTCATAAGTAAACAGATTACAGTTTATGTGGATTTAAGAAAACAACAACATGTAATAGTGAATCAAACTGGTATCTAGGAGAATCAAAGCACTGCATGGTAAGAACCAACAGAAAAGAGACATCTTAACAAATCCCAGATGCTGTTCTCATAGCTAAGTTAAGGAAAGTCTAAATAATGTTACTATGAAGCCCATCTAGCACTAAATCTTGGGAATCTTGCTTATCAAACTGAAAAGGTGTACTAGGAGTCAATGAAAGCTGATCTGCAAGAAGATTATTGAATATCCTCCTTAACAAGTCAGCAGGCAGTACCAACAATACACATTATGTGCAGATGTCACCGAGGTTGGAATGATTTTTGAACATTTGGAAGACAGGAGAGGTGGAAAAATGGCATGAAATGATGAAGGGGAAACACAATAAAGAGTGAAGGGCGAAGAAAGAGAAGCTAAACATATAGATTAAAAAAAAAACCAACAACCAACAATTGGCACAGATCAGTTCTGTAGAAAAGTGCTGGGTGACAACAGACAATAAGGCAGTGTCCCAGAGAAAGTTATAACCATTAGGGAATGGCAGAATCTCCTGAGTTGGAAGTGAACTGCAAGGATCACTGAGCACAACTCCTCAGACTTCAAAGACACTGGAGACAAATTCATCTGCTGTGGACAGATGAAGTCTGAGAAGGAGGAGAGCACTCTGCTCAGAGCACCAGACTTAAAGAAAACCATGGACAGATTCAAGGAACTCTAGCAGAGTCCACCAAAACAACAAGCAATTTTAAAATCACAGCCCTTGAGAGAAGGTTGAAAAAAAGCCCCAATGGCTGCAAAATGAACGCAGGTAAGAATGAACTAATAAAAGTATTTGAAAGGTTGGGATAACTGCCCCAAGGGCATGACATACCATGGTCAGGTTACATTTCAGAAAGATAATTTTGGGAGGTTTTCTTAATACCTAACTTCACCACAGGGACTGGTGAGTGCTGGGAGATAAGATCTAAGGAAGCAGCAGAACTGCTGTCACAGGGGATTTTTAAGAATGGGTTAAGTAAATATTGTCAGGAATAGCACAGGTCAAGGACTGGTGATGTTTCAATGCTGGCATGCTAGCATTTCTACTTTTCTTTCTCAAACAGAGGTGGAGCCAGTTCTTACTGACCAACTGGAAGCCAACACACACCTCTCAGTTGGTGAATGGCGTTTTATTCAGAAAAAGAGAAGCTCTTCAGCCCTTAGGGGATTCAGGGCTTTGGGGTTTTGTGCCCTCTGCTCACAGATGCTACTCTCAGTGTGGCAAATGCTGCACGTGCTCATACATCAGTGAAAACACTGTCAGATAAAAATGCTGTTGGTCCACCAAGAATTATTGCCAACAATCTCCTAGGGCTTCTTTCGCACGCTTGCTTTTAAGAACTGGGTAGGACTAACCAACATGCTTAGTGAGCACAAGCCAGAAAGGTCTTGTTCAATACCTGTGATAGGTCTCAATCTCCGTAACACTGATGACGGCCGTCTCATGTCAGCCAGGAACTTGTACAGATCTTCATCACTCAGGCGATCACCCTCCTGTCAAAGAGATTATGTGCACAACTCTCAAGGACTACAGAAATATGAATAAACCATCAAATGCACACTAGCCTCTTACCTCTGACATCAAAATGTACCTTCACAGAATGAGGTGCTACATTAGCATGCTGAATTACTGCTAATTTCTTCATCCCTTTTCCTTTCTTTTCTTCTTATTAATCACCATGACAGCTGCAGGAGCTTTTCATTGAAAACCTTTTGTCTCCTCATCAATATTATCTTTTTTAAAACTGAGAATGGTTGTTAGAAGATTTCCCTAAAATATCCATTTTTTAGCAAGTATAATAGCTTGAAAAAATATCCATCATTCCAATGGTGATCCTCCTTCCTTTTCCTCTGCTTTTCCCTCAGTATGATTCTGAGAGTCATACTTGACAAAAGCATTGTTAAGAAAGGATGGGAAGTGAAAGGACTTTGTTGTCAATCTTCCCTGCGTCACATTCTAGTAGTTCAAAATTTTGTTATAACATCACAGAAAATGTCACCTTGCTACCTTCCAACTCTCCAAAAGTAGAAGACATCTGATAATAAAGGCAATAAAACACATAAAGAAGAAAAAAGCAACTGGAAAGAGAAAATGCTCAGTGGTATTTGGTTAATTGTACTTGAAGGTATTAAAGGATACAAGACAGAACTAGAAGTTGACATCCTTCTAAAAGGAATTTCCTGGGCTGTTCTGTGTCACTGAGGCTCTAAAGATACCATTTGCAGAGCCCAATTTCAGTTATGCTGAGTTTCATGAAAGCACTCAGCAAAAGAGGCCGTTCATTTACGTGCTTTCCGCCAGCATAACTTCAAACCCTGGATTACATTTCTCCTTCTTTACATTACTGAATTTAAGAGCAGAATGTGACTGGCTTCCCACAGTGAAACTGGCATACAACCAAAACAGTCAGAAAAAAAAGAGAGCTTAATCAGCTTTCAATATATAGAACCCACATCTTTGTAATCCCAATGACCGAGGAATCAGTCCAAAAAATATCTGGTTGTACACTATTAAATCCATCTTATACACGAAGGTGACATTCAAATAATAATTTTCCTTAACCAGATGTGGCATTAAGCAAACCTTAGGGAAAATTAATGAACTGAAACCATTTTCTAAGCTTCACTACAGATTTTATTCTGTTTAATCATATTTTCTACTGTTTTTCAGGAAAATCCCAAGCTCCGGATAAGAAGAACTGCCAATCAGCAAAGAAGCATGAGAAATGTTCTGATGTTTTGGGCATCACTGGATGTGCCGACTGCAAATTACATTCATGAACCTGTTTCTGAGCCCTCCAATGGGACTGGAAAGGATTCTCTGTCATCTAATGAAACCAACAGCATCAAGCAAGCATCAGGACAGAGACTATGCAACTCTTGGACTAAGGACTACCTGGAATACTTTTTGTGACATACTAACCCAAAAAGTTATCCTCAGCTTTTGTGCACTTGCTTTTAAGAACAATTTGCTAAATATGTTTACCAAAAGGCCAAACAGTGATTTTCCCAGCACACAGTAGAACAATCTGGAGCAAAACACACCAACATTCTTCTGGTCATTCTTCTGGACCGTTTCTATTAGAGCGGGTAACTCACTGTGCCATAATGATGGTTCACTCTTCAAGCAAAAACAGCAAATAGTTTCAAGTTCTGTAATGTAAATTACTCACAGTACACTTCCTGAAAGAATCCACCTTTCAACTGCAGACCTGCTGGTGGCAGGATGAGCACACAATCTAATAAACTCACAGTATGTTGCTCAAAGATATGCCACGATGAGGAAACAGACATTACATACTGAAAGTATCACAAAGAACTTATTCAGATCTAAACTGATTCCTCATGATCCAATCACTCTGTACAAGAAGCAACTTTTTGCTCAGATGGTTTCATACAATACCTGCTTAAAGAAGTTTGTCACTGTCAGAGTAGCTGGCCTAAAACTGGTCAAATTGCAAGCCTCATCACCGCTTGTGGTTCTCTCTAACGAACGCCGCCCAACGATACTGGAATTCCTTCTCTCTGACCACGAGCCTTTGCGTTCTTCAAAAAACAAAATAGAAAGGGAGAGTAATTTAAAAAAAAAAAAAGGAAAAAAAAAACAACTGTCCAAGAGCCTACCTTTGTTCCAAGCTGGATTTTCTACACAAGAAGATAGCTGCCGCCTTTGGAAATTATGCAATAAGCGTGATAGAAGAGGTGGTTATGCTAAGACAATCACACTCCTGAGGCATCAGGAGGCTATGAAGCACAGCCAACTACTTCTGCTCCTCTCACAGCAACCTCACCCCAGTGCCTTACTGCTATTAAAAAAGTCTTTATCGTGTGGAGATTTATGTGTTTCCCTTGCTCTGAAAGATGATGAAGTTGGCAGTTTTGGGGATGCTGAAGAGCAGTTTCAGATGAGCTGTGTGGTTTGCAAAGATTAATCCACTCCTTTGGAAAATGTTCATCAGCCTGTAACACTCTCACACTTAGAAGCCTGGTTTTAAATAATATAACAGATGGTTTGCTTGTAAAATCCTTGAAAGATAAATCCATTTGTTACCATGGACTTCTCTGTTTCACTTCAACCATGACCTGAGACTATCGGAAGGCCTAGGGCAGGGGGAGAAACAGGATTAAAGGAGCAATGGCAGACACAGGGTGTAAATCAAGACTTCCTGACACTCTGGATTTGTCCACGCTCACTTATACAGATGCCACACACTTTACCTCCTGTGCCAACTTCTACTTCTGTGGAATCTCTTTCCAAACTTCCAGCACTGCTCACAATGTTCATTAAATGAATGGCTGTCCACGCAAAAGGCATCCGATATTTGCCCAGTCTTTGGCAAAACTGTTCTGCCTGGCATTTCAGTTTTTCCAGCTTTTCCTTATTCTGCGAAGAAAAGATTAAACCAAGAGTGTTAAAAAGAGAGGTACAGAAACAAAGGTTCATTTCACAAAATCACTACATAACAATGGCATCACTATGCATTATGCAGGCTTCTGCTTCACAGAACTGCAATCCAACCAACAGCGCCAGGTACAGGACAACCTGACATCCAGAGCAGCTGACTCTGTGCTCTTCAGCTTCCTCCATAGCCTGCACAATCCCTGTGAGCTCATCTGGCCCACCACCCTTCCAAAAAAACCAAATTTTACTCTATGAAGTCTGAAATGACCTCTCTTAACATGATTTCATGCAGCAGGCGCCCAGATCACCTGGAGCCAAATGGGAAGCAGAGAATAGTCCTCAACTAAGCAGTACCATATTCATGCCACTAAGAAAAAGGGATATGAAATGACTGCCACAATTCTGCATTTTAAGCAGCAACTTTTTGCTTCAATTTGTTAAAAAAAATCCACTGACAGAGAGCTCAATAACAACAGTAAGCTGTGCTACTTGCACCCTTGTAGTTCAGCACGTGCTCACGCACCTCGCTGCAAAGGAGACCTTCATTACCTTTTCACCTACATTCCCTGCAAATCCAAAGCCTAAATTTCACGTAGGCACATTCCAACTTGTCAAACACAGGAAACGGAGAGGTTTTAATTTCTGTTTGCTGAATACCTCAGGTGAAAGATAGATGTTTTTTTCAGTGTGGTGCAGTGACATAGCTTCTTCAGCTAAAGACACGTTAGAACTTTAGCAAGGCACAGCTTTTTTAGTGTTTCAGGGCTAGCCCAGGCTATCCACTGCACTTTAGAAGCCAATGCCCAAACTGCCAAAGAATTAAAGGAATGTTAATGAAAAAAATAGAATACTAAGATACAGATTTTCTTATCTACCCTTACTATGTGTAAGAACAAAAGCTTTACCCTGCTGTTGACTATGGACCTTTAGAATATTAACAAAAAGAAAAATCAAGAGAAAATAGAGGAAAAACAATCAGAACTGCAGTGTGACTCAAAACCAGATTTGATGGAGAATCCCCTGTTGATGTATTTTATCAGTTTATAACCCTTCTAGAGCAAGGGAGAGGTACTATGATGGAGATCAGCAGCAGACAAATTGAAATCTTGCTGCACATTCACATCCAAGCCTGCCTAAACCACAAAGACATCTAAACCATCTGACCAAGCTAAAAGCACAGAGCTGATCCTTTGGGACACAGAATTACAGATGACTGAGCTTGATGGTAACCACACATCTCCTCTGTCACCTACAAAAACTGATGACCTTTAACTACTCTTTCCCTGTGTGGCATCAAGATTCAAGGGTCCTTGACTCTTAGCTACCGTTTAGAATTTGACAAGTTCCTTAATTAAAAATGGATCTTCTTAAAATAGGAGCAACATCAATGACCCTTGAGATCAAGGTGAAAGAAAACAATGTGACAGTGTGCAATTTGTTAGCAAGAAAATACCTGAAAATGCTCATAGCCAAATTTAATCAAAACATGTAAGAAAATCTTACCTTTGCTGCATCGGATTCTTTAAAAATCATGTAAGGCTCAGCACATTCACCAATATCTCCCTGCTGTAATACTTTTTCAAGCTGAGAAGGGAAAATGAACCATTATAAGAACATGTATCCAGCAAGCATTGTTAAATTAAACAAACACGAGGAAACAAAAACATTCTTTCAGAAGAGTTGAAGCTTGATTTCCCTTTGTGTGTCAGGAACAACCACTGCACTCAATCTGTTAGAGCCATTAAGTTCCCACATTTCCAGCTATAATTAAATCAGAAGAGTAAAATAGAGTTTCAGAGGGAACATATACCAGTTCACTTCAGTTTAGTATAGTTCTATAGTTCTAGAGCCACTTCCAGCTCATTTTTCAGGTCTTACAGACAGCCTGCACTGTCACCACCATCATCATTTACAGAAGACTGTTCTTATTTCCTTATTAAGGAACTCCTGCAGCATCACAAGAAGGTCACTTCCATTGTGTTAAGACACATTGTGTTAAGACACACCATTCTAAATCAACGTGTTTTCAAATCAAATAACGAATTATAGCAGCCAAAGAGTACATATTTTCTTCTGAAGCCTCTGAATAAGTCAGTGCCCACTTAGCAAGAAACCCAGCTTTTGATAGAAATTCCCTCCCTAGCACAAGCATGCAGACTGCTTCTGTTTAGAAGCATCCTGGTACTGCATTCCATGCTTGCTACTGTGCACATGTTATTGTTATTGTTTGACTACAGCAGCCTTAATGCTCTCCCACACTCAAGAAGTGCCATTTGCACTCATCAATCACTAGAGGCACAGCCACACAATATGAAGAACAAGACCACTTCCTTTCGTATCTTACACTCTAATGAGTTAATGCCAGCAATAGTATCTGTACAAAAACAGGATTCACAGTAAATAACAAGAAGACCCATGCAAAAATTCACCTGGATAAGCACACCATGCATCTGTCTCCTTTATCCTTGACTTTATCTTTTTCATCATCAAATCAAAAAATCACTTAAGTAAATCACTACCAGCTCCTCTTGGATCACTGGTTTTACAAGCACTGATGTGCAGTCACAAGCTCTTTTGGACAGATCTCCATTTCAGAAACACAGGGTTATCTCAACCTCCTATCTTGTGAAAATCAGAAAATCATGTGTGTAAGACACGATTTTGAGAAGAAATTTAGAGACAAAAAAAAAAAAAAGGAAATCAAATTATTCCCTGAAACACTGACAGCTTTTTTCTCATCTGGGAATTTTCTGGCACGCTAGAAAGTCTTACGTCACCTTCAAAAGCTTACACTTCATGTAAGATGCAGTTCAAGAAGAACTTGTACAAACTCATCAAAAAACGCTGCTAGAAAGCAAAGTATCCACTGTCTGTGAACTGAAAGTATGCATCAAAATCCTCATTAGGGTAGGATAATATTTATGCAGAGACAAATTCAAATGCCAGTCTGACCTCATAGCATTTCTGTGCTCTTTCAAACAAATGAAAAAAAAGAGAAAACGTCAATCTTTGTATACTTTATTCCAGGAGTGACCAATGTGGTATTTAATTTCAGTTATGGATCACGCTTTCTCAGCAATTCAAATCTGTAAAGATATTTCAAAATCTGACTTAAGGGCATATACCTTTCTCAAAGGAGATTCTGATTGAGATATATTTTTAAATGATTCATTTCTCCATCATTTTAAGAAGGCTGCATGTCATTTCACCTGAAAACCAAGGTCAGATTCCAGAAAGCTGCCCTGTATCAAGCAAAGCTATGCAGTTTCTGCTCTTTTTCAATAATAATAATGTATACCTCCACTGAACTGCTCCTGTTATTAAGGAACTCTATGTGCTAAGTGAGAGGATTTGAAAGAAAACAAAAATGTGTTGTTCCAATGTTTATACTTCTGAGAACAAAATACTGCTTTGCAAGTGGAAGTAACAAGCTGGGGAGTGACCCACACTTGGTTTTACTTTAATATGAATAGAATTGACAACAGTAATTAAAATTTCTCAAGCATTTCTTACCTTTATTACCAGAAACACATCTTGAGAGGGATAGGTGATTGAAAAGATGGCAGACCTGGCCAGCGTGGATATAGCAGCAGGGGGGACATGTGGACGGAGCATTCCCTTCATTTGTTCGGAGTTTAAATCAAAGTAGAAATTTTCTGAAATCTGAGGAAGAAGTTGGGCAGAGTCAGCATCAGTTCTTCCTATTGTCTGTGAAATCCTCACCAACATCACGGGTAATTCAAGACACAAGTGAAAAAAAAATACCTACAGCATCTCGTTTCTAATCCATGCATGAAAAGATAAGTATGGCATTAGAGCGGGACAGTAGGAAAAGAAAAAAGAAGAAGAGAAAATTAATATAAGTTTTGTCTTCCTCCTGTAGGACATGCAGTTCCAATCACAGGATGAGGAAACAACTGCTATCTGAATTGAAATATCAAAATATTAAAATAGAAAATGATCTTCTGGAGGAGATCATCCTGCAGGAGACAGAGAGATCTTCACACTGAAACACCAAATCCTCTACAGCATCAAGGCTTCGTTCAAGGCCAAAAGGAATGTGAGCTGGTTATCAACACCAGAGGTCACTAAAGAACTGACTAAGAGAAGGGAAAAAATGGAGTAATGAAATGATAAAATTGGCTTATGAAATGTGATTTAAATATTAAACAAAGTTCACATAATATTCCGCATGTTCTCATCTACACAACTTAAAACTCAATGCATTAAATTCAAGTCTCAAAGAGATAAATGTCAAAATGCATATTTTTAACATTTTTCTCTCTGCTATTGCTAATATCTTGAATTAGGAAAACTAAGAGACTCTTTAAATATTAAAGATAGAACATAAATAGGGAATAAATGGATTTTGTATCTCCTAGAGCTCAGACACTGAAGACTGCTGAGTTTTGTTTCAATTTTAGCACATATAACTTTCTCGTGCATTATTAGAACGTTACTTGGACACACAGCGTGCTGAACCTCAAAGAAAAGAAAAAGAAAGTCATAAAAACTTAAATAACTGAAACCTTTTATTGAGATTAAATTCTCTCCGGGGAGAAGACTTCTGAAAGCCAAGATTGGAAAATATATATATACTGATTTCAGGCACTCACATATTAAATAACATTTTTAGAAATGTAGTTATACTTCAACTGCTTTGCTAAGCAGAAGGAGAACACGTAAGGAAGTTCATGATGAAATGCCCTCATCGCTCTTTCAACCACTTGTATCTCACTGTCTTCCTGAAGTGTCTGTTTTCAGAAAGAAACCCCTCTGTTTTATAACACAATCTGTAACACCCAGGCTGAAATGTAAAGTAATAAGAAACATACCTTTTTCTTTTCTTTAACATCATACAAAGCCAAACTTGCAAAAATGGGCTCAATTTCTATCTCAAACCTTGAAAGAAAGAAACATATAGAATCAAATGACTTGCATTTTGTACCAAAAAACAGCAATCTACACACTTCCCAAATCCTGCCTGGGTAAAGCGACCACCAAGCACTGTTAGTTCAGATATCAGGAGCAGCAGAGCCAACCTAAGGGCTTCCTGTGTTGAAAAGAGGGAGGTCTCACTCCCCTTTTCTCCCCCACTCCTCACCTGTCCTCGCTCCTATACAAAATTAAGACTGAAATGCAATTCTGCCTGCACAGTCAACCTATGCAACTAATGTTGAATCCACAGCAGCATCCCCCAGCACCTTGTGTTCAGAGCTCTGCAGGCTGGAACCCTTTCTGCCATCAGGCAGAACAACATATAGGGCTGTATCATCAAACAGGTATTTTCTCTAGTTCTAAAACAAAAGTGAGATTAACTTGAAAAGGAGCCTGCTGATGTAATTTTACATTGAAAAGTAATCTTTCTCTTTTACCCACATTTCTCTTTAGACTGAAAAATTCCCTGGGGAAGAGACTACACACTTCTTGTGTCATTAAGACAGCACAACCTTGGATGCTAGCTATTAAAATGATAAATAAAGTTTCAGAGATTACTGTGGTACACAAACAAGCATGTATTTGGGCAGATTAGATATAAATTTAGAGCCAGCTCAAATAGCAGAAATCATAAATTTCCAGAATTTAACTTATTTGTGCTACAGACACCATCCTTTGGAGAGGAAGCTCCACTGCTACTGCATATTATGTTGTTCCAGTTCATAAAAGGCTGCAAAATCAGTTCATCTCTACGGCTATATTAGGTCCTGGATTACTCTACAAGCAGGAGATACGTCCCACACATATATCTCAGTTATGAGCTGCAATGTAGTCTAACTGGGGCTCTCTAATAAGAAGGGTTGACCTAACTGAGGACACAGAAGATGAATACAGCAGTGTGGAAAATCAGTTTTGTACTTTATTTCTCCAAGGGAATAACAGTAAAATTTTACCTTGTGTTATTAGAGAAGAGTTATAGGCAATGAACCAGCTGCAGGTAACCCTACATTCAGGAGCTCCACTTCATTAAACTTGTTTAACAGGTTTCTATTCCTTCAGTTAATGCTTGCTAAGTATATAAAGTCTTCACTCTTAAAGGGACACAGTCAAGGTTGTTGAGCCTAAACTTTGACGAATCTTTGATTTTCTAACACTGTAAAGTGTTAACCTTATGTTTTTAAGGCTCAAGCACTTTTAATATGTTTTTCTTGCCCCACTTACATATCCTTGTTACACAGCTGAATACCAATGGGTGGCCAATTGCAGAGCCCTACACAAGCACAGCCAAGATGTATGCTAGCAATATGGGACAGGTATAACTACAGATTGGCTGAAAAAGAAGGCAAAAAAAGCCAAGTCGAGTGAAAATCTTCTATGTCAGACCAATACAAAGGAAGTCTCAAAGATAAAATCATATGATGCACATTACTGCGTATGGTGCACTTCAGAGAATTAACCTTTAAGCCCATGACCAAATCAAAGTTACAATGTTTTAAGGATATGAAACAAGATGGCAGAGTTATCCCAGAAGCATCTGGATGTAACAGACTTAAATTCTCAATTTCTATAGCGTAGCTCTTTGTTGGAGGGATACTTACTTAAGAGACAAACACTTCACCAGGAGTCTTTGGCCAAAGTGCTCTTTGGGTACTTCAGGAATGCTAAGTCGTTCTATAGGCTCCTCCTGAAATGTACACAGGAACAGTTTACAGACAACACTTGTAAAACCACTAATACCACTGTGACACAAGTACACGTGGTGCTTTTTCCTTCTAAGACACTAGCATCAATCTAACCCAAGGTTTACCAATGTGATGTATGCAGCAGCAGCCTCTAATACACTAAATTAAATCCCTCTAATGTTTCTACATTACAGTGATCAGATATCCATAAGGGAAAATGAATCTTCAGAAAGCAGCATGTATGTAACATACCGAAAAACTCTCAACTCCTGCAAACCAGCTAAGGTTCTCATGGAAATTTAACAGAGATGATCTTGACTCTTTGAATCATTGGCAGACTGACAGATTTCACATTCTCTATATCCTCCACTTTTTTAATCTCACCCACATACATATAAAAATACCTCATCTGGAGCCGGGTGTAGTGCAAAAAGCTCCTTATGCCTATTGGACTTCCTCTGATCTTCATTGTGGTGGTCAATCTCTTCATTGGGGGTTCGGTCCAGCAGGTTTGGGAGAAGGGCATCTGGAAGGGAGTTCTTCAGATCAAAAATACTGCAAGCCCAGCTGCCCCGAGGAGTATCGTCAATCGACATTGAGCGCCGCTTAAGGTCATCCTGAGATTCAACAAATTGAAAGCAACTTACAGTGGGAAAGGGATTGCACTTTTAAAATGCAACTCTACATTAGGTTTTAGGTGGCAAGGTTTGAAAGGTACATTACTTGTTCATCGTGGTAACTGTTGCCATCTGGAGCTTCATCAGACTCAAAGACCTGTTTGGGGAGCCCCTTTTGCCTCTCCTTCTGTTTGTCTAAAGTGTTGGGATTAAATCCAGTCCCCAGTTTGTGATACCTGAAAACAAAGCATTTCAAGCGCACTTTTAGCATTATTTTTGATCCCAAACCCAGAAGCAGAATTACAGAACAAACGCAGTATTAGCAGTGCGGATCATCTCAAAGCATGAATTGCTCTCTGCAAACAGTGTACCCACTGTAGCTGTGTAATAATCCAACAACCAGTATTCTTGTACTACAGTGTGACTTTGTTCAACTCTAAAGAAATGCTGGGTGATGTCCAAGGAATTATTATCAATGCCCAATTAAGGGCATCATAAAATGAGCAATTGTGATGCCAAGCTTAAGACAGGACAATAAGGAGAAGATGGAAGGCCAGTGGTTCTGTAGGAGCAGGAATTGGCTGGGAACAGACAATATTAACACCATGCAAACCAAAGCACCAGCACTAGGCTGGACTGCAAGCAGCACTGAGGTTCTGAGTATGCTGGAAAACATTTGAGTTTCTGACTCCAAATAAAATGAGCATCTTCCCAGAGCATCTTTATAAACAGAACTGGGTCCTCCAGAGCATTCCAGAGCTCAAGAGCACTTGCTAGTAAACAATCTGTCTGCTGTTGCTAACAAGATCACATCTCTTTGACTAACAAATTTTAGGATACCAAATGGCACTGTGTCTGCGTTCACACACATATGGCCTGAGCCATAGCCTCTTTACAAAACTCAGTCAGTCTGACTTAAGTTAAACGAAGTCAATTTCCAAAGTAGTGCTGGGATTGCACCTACAATCAATTGCTTATATCCTGCCCTGCTTCTACAGTTACTACAGAAAGCTAAACAGACATGGCAGGCACATAGATGTGCAAGCAGTGAGTAATGAATGGAAGGTGAAAGAAGAGGAAAGCAAAGGCATATATTCAGTCTGAATACCATTAAACTATTCACCTAATGGACAGATTTCGCTGTCCCCAAATATATTTTGGTAATGAAGAACCATAGAGAAAGATTGAAATAAAGACTATTTCCCCTGGTGTGGAGGAGAAAGAAGAATAGCACGGCAGAAGTCAAGCTCTTCTGAAGCTCGATGATCAGGATGTTGTACCCCCAAATCTGGCCAACCACTTGTAACCATCCAGTAAGAAAGACCAAGAGAAACCAGCTACCATCATCCAGTAACAGATTCCTGATCTGGTAGACAAGACGACCTTACTTGAAAAACAATTCAATTCTTTGCAGTCGTGCTTTTGGGCTCCTGTTCTGCTACAACAACAACCTTCTTGTTTCTATGCAGTGCACTGCTGTGATTTTATCACAGCAAAAACTGCTAGGGATGCTTACGGAACTGCCTCTCCTCTTCCAAAGGAGCAAGGCTTGGGCTGCAGCTCAGCAATCACTCAGCACAGCCTCGCCCCACTCAGACAACTCTAATGCCTTTAGCTGCATGCCTTCCTTGGCACTGACCACATCTGCACAGGACAGAAAGCTTTGCTGTTTCCAACCAATCCAGTGCAGGAAACACAGCCAGGTGTTAGAGATTCCACTAAAAGTCATTGAGAAGCTGTGAGGTATGCTTGCTGAGTGGGTCACACCACCCAAGCCTATTGTGCAGTCCTGGCTCTGCCCACAATGGCTGGGAGTTAATAAAACATCCTCTCTCAAGTTTCCTTTTTTTTTTTTTCGCTAAGAGGTTACAAACCACATTTTTATTAGGTCATCTTAGCACTGCAAAGCATATCTTCAGCATCCTCTGGAGCAGTGCTCTGGACAACATTAAACCAGTGAATTGTAGCAACTACTACAAGGGCAGAGCTGTAGCTGTAGTCAAGTCATTTTAAGGTGATGCACATCACATGGATCACTTATTCCTCGACAATAGCTTCTGAAGTCATCAGACCTTCAATCATCTGAGAGAGTATGTTCAACCTAAAGCTACTTAGAAACTTCCCAGCTAATTTGTATAAATTGGTGCATATTCTCTAAACAGTTAGCTCACTTTGTAAAGACTGTGACAGCTCAAACACTAACAGGCATTTGTTTAAACTGTGCTCATTCCAAATGTTTCTTTGTGAACAAACAAATGTTGCAGAATGTTGCACCTTAAGGTGCTTGCATCTGCATATGTAAACCTTACATCTTATAGGAAGGACTAAAAATGTATGAAAGGGAGCAAATGCTGACAGTTACGTTTAAATCCCTAAAGTAATTTTACATTCCCCAATATTTTAAAGGAGCTGCAGTTGATGGAAATGGCCTAGATTTTCAAAAATGCCCTAAGGGGTTTTGATGTCCATGAGATCTAATTTTCAAAACAAAAAGCATCTTTTCAGTTAAAAACAAAGCATCAGTTCAGCTCAGCGAGGCAAATAAAAGCCAAGGCACACGAAAGCAGTAGCCAGGAAAACCATTTTCGAGCTTCCTCATAGCAGCTAGTCACCCTGAAAATAACCTGAAATCAAGCTGACAAACGTCACAGGGAACTCACTTTCTGTTCACAATTGCCCAGTCTTCCGTGTAACTTCTCACACAGTCCCTCACGTGAGGGTCCATCTCACTGTAAAAGAATAAGGAACAACATCTTTAGAGTGGTAGACGTGCAGACTTTCACTTCAGGCACATCACAGACAAGAATTCCAGACTTCACCCTTGCAGATTTTCAAATGCAGAACAACTGACTCCCTTGGGCAAGGTGCTCCCCTGTCTCCTCCTACCTCTCTTCAGGAACAGCTGACACAAGCGTCCGACATTCTCGGGGGGTGTACACAACCTCAATGTCATCGGGAGGAAACTCGAGCAAGTCTCTCAAGGGGCCAGACTCGACTGCAATGGGGTGTGTGATAAGGTAATCCTCCAAATCAACCGGGTCCACTGCTTCTGTAAGCGGCACCTGTGGAAAGGCAAGCAAAGGAAGGGTCTTAAAACAAGGACAAAGAAAACAAACCAATCCATCATTTTGCTTCTAAACCAGGTATTACATTTTACTTGCCATGTAAGTGACTTTGGATTTTTTTTTTTTTTTTTTTTTTTTTTCAGTTGCTGGTCTGATCACAAAAGGGACCTTCATCCTGATTGAAAATGCAAAAAAACCAAACCCTCTCACACTTCAGCACAGCCTGCGGACAGGAATTCAAAGCATGGGCTGATTTACCAGCAGCACATGAAGTCATAGAGCCCAGAAGACTAAAGCTATTTCAAATTAAGTGACTTTTCCAGGGAACACAAAACACAACATTTCTCTGCACACTGAACAATCTCTTCTGATACTGGGGACCTTTGGGGCCCAGATTACACAGCCCACACCCGAAGCAACTCTGCTCCAACCAATACAGATCCTTAAAAAGCATCTTTTGAGGGCACAGAGCTTTCCCATGAAGCACAGGGAATGACTGAACAGTCACCCATGCAGAGGAGCAGCAGGCTTCACTGGAAGCACTGTTCCCACCATAATGCAAAAAAGTGAGCTAAAAGGGCCCTTCCTTTTAAATGCATAAGCTAGACATTGCATAACTGTGTATTTTAACATATGCATGTTATATAATACATATATATTCTGATATGAGATCACCATACTATGAGGCTGCATATAAACAGGTATTAAGAAAATGAAACATTAAGAACACATTTTGAGGAACCCTTTTCTGCAACTGACACGTTTCCTACAATTCCCCAGCACACCCCAGTGAGGCTTCATATGAATCACAAAAGCAGATTAAAATTCAGCAGTTTTTCTCCTGCTGCTCTTTCCAGACACCCAGATGACTTCTGCGGGACAAGGAAGTTATCTTTTATTGGAGGTTATTTTAATAAGAACAGTCAGTACTCAAATTTTAAGCACGTTTCTCTAAAGCCTTGTTATCCCAACCGAAAAAAGTCTACTTTTTAAACTTAGGCTGCCAAAAAGTTCTGAAATAAATGGACTTTTTATTCAAGGCAAAGACTTGGCTGGCACAGCGGTACTGAAAGAATCACTCTTGCCACAGCCAACCTCGATGAATACTGCAATTTTCTTCAAACACAGAAGGCCAAACCTTCAGCAGGAAGACGGCACAATGCCAGTAAAGCCAGGTGAGTTAGACCAGATGACTTCATGCCAGCTGAGAATCTGAACCACACACACACACAAAAAAAAACAAATAAATAGAACAACGCATGTCCAGAATCTCAGTACTAAGCTCTGCAACTTACGAAAAAAGCAGAAATTAATTTCATGTATTTAACTCCAACCCTGGGACCTTTTTGTGGATGCTCCATCCCTGCAGGCTGGACGTGGCTCTGGGCAGCCTGGTCTGCTGGTTGGTAACCCTGCACACAGCAGGGGGTTGGAACCGGATGAGCATTGTGATCCTTTTCAACCCAGGCCATTCCATGGTTCTATGATTTTTTTCCCCTTCTAGTCCTTTACTTGGAAATGGAGTGGAGCTGTGGGATTAGCAGAACTTTCAAAAAAAACAGAAGTGTTAACTGCTTTTGCCACAGCAAATCTCACAGCAAGAATGCGTCACTGCTCTTTCCCACACAGCAGCCAACATGTCACCACCTCACACTATCTGTTTCTTAAATGTAGATAGACCGGCTCTGCTTGGCACTGGAGGACTGACAAAACTCACAGCACGGTGTCACAGTGCACTGTTGAGGAATTGCTAGAAGTCCAGGCTTTTTTCAGGAGAGCTGATGCATTAAAGCAAATGGGAGCACGCAGGACTGAGCAGGGCCTGCCACAGCCGCACCACCATTCCCACCTCACAGCACTCCACGTCTCAAATCTCACTTGCCCAACCGCAGCATGATGATGTGTTTGATGAAAGAAGACCCTAGCAGCCAATGCTCCCCCAGGACAGCAGTGCTGCAGGGCTGCGCAGGCTCCATCTGTGCTCTGGGCACCTCCAAGCCCTTCACACACCTCAGCATCTGGCCCAAGGTTAACGCTTCCCAATGTTCCAGTTTGTCTCTTCAGATAACTATTGTACCATGAAGATGTAAACACACATAAAAGTCAAACCCAGAAGCCTGTATTAGACTTGCCATCTGTGCAGCCAGAAATACTGTCTAGCACCTGAGTAAACAGGCCAAACATAAATTCATGGCTACGAAGAGGAACTACTTCACATCAGACTATTGGCAGATAAAAGGCAAGCACATTATTTTAAGCCTTAGATATTTGTGGGGGCAGAAGTGATGAAAGAGGAGGAGGAGATAGGAAGGAAGAGGTGCACCAAAAGGTAAGTGAACCCAAATGGCATCACAGCCTTTGAGCTGAGCCACCTCTTCCCTCCAGCTTCACACTCCTGCAACCCTCCGGAGCACCAGATGAGACCAAGAACAAAACCAGCACACAAGGGGCTATTTTTGTATCTGCAACCTGGCCAAAGCCTCAGCCACCTGAAATTTTCCAACAAATCCGTCAGATGTAGCGTGCACTGAAAGAATTGGACGAGTTCAGATGAAGAGCAGGTTATCCAATCTCACCACCCTGGCCTTGTTGCTGACAGAGGAGCAGAACCTGTTTTATCTCATCCCCAGCCCCTGCCTGCCTCCACACAGCATCCAGAAAAACAAGGAGCTCAGCAGCCGACTGCCACAGCCTATGAGGACTGTGGTTCTTCTTAGTCGGCAGGACTTTGGTCTTTAACATCACCCCTGACGTACAGCTGATCTCCAGATCATCACACCAGCAGCACATCCCACTGTCAGCTGCATGTGGGGAGGTTTAGAAATCTCTGCTGCAGAAACGTGGGGAACATCTGAAGAGTTGTAACGCTGTCCTCTTCCACAGCACTGTGTGCTGATGGGTCAGAGAGAGCAGCATCCTGCCAGAGGCACACAGCCTTCCCACTGCTGCCAGGAAATGCCTTTTTCACTTGTGCTGACAGCTCCTAGGAAGCAGGAGAGGTGCTTCCTCCACGTATGGAGATTGTTTTTCATCTTTGGGCTTCCAGCTGCATGGAGACAATCTCAGTCAAGTATCTGCAAATGTGCAGTCCGCCTACCAACCCACTAATGAAACCCAGGAAGGAAACACTGGAGTTCTGCCCTTAAAGAACTGCTGATGAGGCATCTTCATAGTCATTAGTAAGGCCCTCCAGAAACTGAATGTGTGCACAGGCTCTCATCATATCCCCAGCTAGGACTAGGGGATGCTTTAAACTAACAGTGAATGCACAAGAAGGAAAGCCTACTCTCAGCATTGTGATTACTGCTCTTATAGAATAAACCTGTCGATTTTGTACAACCTGTAACTGAAGATCAATTTTTGGACAGTCTTTCAGGTAATTCCTCAACACAGTTTTTGCTCAGTCTTGATCCTGTGGCCAGACACTGCCACCTCACTAAGGAAGGGCTTTTCTGAGGTGACAGAAATTAACAGGGAGAAAGAGGATCCTCAGCATGAGTAAGTGGGGCACAGTCTGCTCCCTTACCAACATAACCACCAGGTACAACACAACAATGAACTGATAGTACAGAACAAATCCAACAGGACACCCATTTTTTAAACAATCCATTCACGCCGAATCAAACACCGCTTGCAAGTCATGATTCTGCATACATCCTTAATCTGACCATGGATCCACACTCAGTCAGCTTAACCAAGATGCCATCCTCATTGATTTGCCTTATACAAGCTGTTTAGCACGTGTAATCCATAGGTGCATCTGTGCTGCTGCAGTTATGGCTCTCAGACGTTGCATTACAAAACCCTATTTCACAGGTTTATAACTCTCCTGAAACAGGGACAGTCAAGCTTTCTTCTTTAAGGCTGTGTTATTCTTCACTGTTATATCCTCTTAAAAGCCTGAAAATAAACTTTCGTTTCTTATCGACTTTGTCCTTCTCTAGACAGTAAACACAGTATTTTGCTGTAGTTTTAGTGCACCACTAGCCAAAATGTCTCTCCCTCCTATTTATTTCCTTTTCTGAGCACCTGTATCATCATCATCAGTTACAGAACAAGCATCTGCTCAAACCTGGCAACAGGGGCATGAACCGCAGCTGAAGGACAAGGTATAGCCCCGTGGAGACAGCAAAAACTCTCTCTTGCTTCAGCCCAGCAGCTTACCCATGAGCTGCAGGGGCAAAGGGCTGACGCAGGAGGAATGCTGCACACAGGGCACCACGCTGCAACGCCCACAGCCTGTTCTACCCCATCAAGGAAGCAAAACTAGAAAGCAAAGGGCAGAGGCACACCGTGGTGTTGGCTTTGTACAAGTGGCAGGGATGGGGTCAGCAGCAGCTGGTGCACATGGAGAGAGCAGAGCAATCAGAAATGTGCACAACAAGGCAATTCCAGGGACAGCGGGGCTGCCTTGCTATCACAGCCGTGAACAGGCAGTGGGTATGCTCTCCATAGATCCACTTCTCCATCAGGTTTAAGAAATGACCAAAGATGGATTTAATTAGGATACCATTCATTACCCATCATTACGTGCCCTTGTCTGAACAACCTCCTGCCCCAGTTTGCTTCCTTCATGAAGCAATTCATTAATCTAAACTAGTATCTAAAACGTAAAGCTCTGTTGTTCTGGGCAGTGTACAGAAGCCCAGTAAGGGATCACAGCAGCAAAGAGGGCAGGAAAAGGGACAATTATTATCTCCATCTCACAGACACTGACTTTGAACACAGAGAACACCCAGTGTACGTCACTGCTGCATGCCCTGACATCCACAGGCATTCTGACTTTTGCCTATGGGACTTTAATCTGTCCTCTCCCTCCACAAGCAGCTGTGCAGAGGGGATATTTCTAGATCTATTTGAAAGTTTGTTGCCTAGCTCACACACAGTACAGAGCACCACAAGTTCTCTGGAGGGACACGTGCCCTAAGCAACACAGACCTACAAGCTAGGATTCCGCAGATTTCCTGCTAGCATACATCAGCACAGCCACAAAAATC